GAGGCTATTTGGGACGTTTGGTCTAATGGGAGTATTTCGCGAGGTGCAAGAGAAGGGTGACCAGTCACTCATCTCCGACCATACTGAGGCTTTTGGAGGTGGAACATGAAATTGAACCTTACGATCAGTGTAGTGGTAGTATTAGCAGTATAAAAAGATGAGCAGTAGTCAAGCAGGTTTAGTTGCCTCGGGAGATATTAGCAATGTTCCCTGCACGTTATTCTTCATGTTTATAGGCTCTGTTTTCTNTTTTCTACCCAGTTGTTACACAATCTACGTTTCCATCACTCTCGCAGGCTCGTGGAACCAATCTGTCCAAAGGTTTACGTTACGATGCGGCACACGAACGGCGTCGCAAGCTCCAACTCAGTCTATTGTACGGTCGGACCCGGGAACAGGTGGAAGAAGAACAGACCCTGGTGCAGGAATTGCACAAAATTGAGGCCAGACGTCGAGAACGAGAACGAAAGAAACAGGATTTGCAGAAGCTTATCTCTCAGGTTTGTGTGCGTCTGTGTTAACACCGGATTGATTCTATTAAACTCCTATACGTTTTATGCGTCACCCACTCCACCCACCCCCACATCTGATATTAAATATCAGTGTGCGTGGTGCGGGCGGTGGTGACACAATGGTTTACTCGCTATCATCTTTGGTCCTAGGTTCCAGCCCCGCCACCCAGCTTTGGTGGCAGACAGCTTTGCTGTCGTCCGGTTCAATACTACACCTGACCTATCAGGACGTTATGTAGTTCACCACTCCAAGTCCCGGGGATTAGGCTTCCGGTTACCATCACTGAACAGCAGGTCCTCGTGACTATGGAGCTCCACCCCGTCTGCTGTCCATCACATCTGTGTGTAATTAAAAAAATGTGCCACGAATAGTTCAACTGTTCCTCCCAGTCGTTGAATAAGTTCATTTTATGATTGTACGATCACAAAGTTAGTGCGACAAGTTGGACGAAAACATCATCGTTGTTGGCGCTAAAAGCTCCGTGAGATTTTCGAGCGGTCTCGAATTTCCATGTGTTGAAGCTTTAGCAAGTTATGCGCAAGCTTTTAGCGATCGTGATCAAGGTTAAGCGGGAAAATTTGCGATAACAGACAGAATTCAAGCAATCACCGCCATTTTGCGTATACTTGAAAAGTACTTCGAACTTGCCACACCACTTGATGTAGGTAATCACACCGTGTCCCACTTTGTTCCTGCACAGTTGTCTATCCTGTCTGAAGTAGACTTTATCCCATTGAATGGTGAACTCATTCACACCGTTGTTGAGCCATGAATCCTGGAGACATGAGGCACACGATGTGCGAAATCCATTTGGCTGAAGCAGGTAGGATAACTTCGGTCGCTCCCAAATATCTCATGCGTGGGCACAGTCATACTGCTGGGGAAAACGTAATCGAGAGCGGTTTGTCAACCGGCACGTATGCATTTTTCGCGTTTGCAGTACTTTTTTCACGATTCACTGTTGACTGGCATTCCAAACAAGGCAGTGTGATTTTGTCACGTGAATTCTTTTCTTTTTAGATACTTTTTTGTTTCCTTCTGTTGTTTGTTGATCAACAGAAATGTGCAATAAACTTCAAGGAAGGGGTCCTGCGGCTGTTCAAAGGCTACCTAGAGAAATACAGGTACTGGGAAGATGGGTAGCTGCGCTGATGCAGCGGGAACTCTGCAGACCCAGACCGCCGGTGTCCGTATGTAGGGATGTATCGTGTCCAGTGTGATCAATACATTCATTCCAACGGCATTGACCAGTTGTATTTTAGCCATTCACAGCGCGACCGTATTTTATTGTCCCAAACATACACAAATATGCCCTTTTCGAACGACTGTTCTAACCGCACCTAAACAAATTTACTCACTTACTTGTGTTTAAATCTAACTAACAGAAAACACCATTATTCCGATACATTTCTATGGATAGCCTCTGTAAGGCATCTTTTTGGTCTGTCCGAGCAGTAGTTTGTGTCCCAAGTTCCCAGACATCCAATTAGAATGTCCTTTTCATCTGTTTGGCTGACGGTCCTGAGGGTTTCTCAGAGTATATCAATCGAAATCGGAATAAAAAATCTCAGTTGTTGTGTTGTTGTTGTGTCGATATATCTGTATATTCAGTTACTAATTTAAGAAAGACGGTTTCAACACTGCAACGAAAATGAACGAAAATAAATGTTCCCGTGAGAATGTTAGTGTTGTGGGCAGTTGCACCATTCTATTGCCCAGCACAGAATAAGTGGTTGACCATTTCGTGCACCTAATAATCATACATATACAGTTTGAAAATAGTAGTTTTTCGATGTTTTAGATTAGATAACTATTGGTTACTCGTCAGCACTAAAATTATCTTCTTTTGCCACACTTTAGTGAAAACATCACATCCATAAAGGGGTAGTGAATAGGATTGGAAAAACACAGGTCATCAGAGGCATCTTCTTATGTCGTATAACCTTGAATTTGTTGATCACACATCTCAGCAAGGGGATTGAACTTACTATTCACTGTTCTGAGCATAAAAAACGGCATCCTACTCCTCCCCCCGGAAATACTTTTTCTGACTGATGCTTATCTCAGGGCACTTTCCGTGAAAAAATCGAACCTCGGATGTCTATCAATGTTGTTGTTGTTGTTCCTTTTAGCCGAGTTTTTTTCATCCCAGTCTCCATCGTGTTCTCTGTTCTTTTCGCATAAACAGGCCGACGCGGTTATTCAAAATCAGGACCCGGGAGATTGGGCCACTGGTGATGCGGTTTTTGACACATCAATTCCCATGAGTCTGGGCTCAGGTGGTCAAACCACTGGCGCGGGAGTTGGCTCCGGAGCGGTACAACGCAGACGTGCAGCCGGTGGATCTGTTTCGAGCGTGTCTTCCGCAGCCACGTTCTATGCACATCCGGCCGGTGCGGAGAGTTCCGCCAGTTTGTCAAGCCTGGGACCGAGCGGAAGTATCCCGGTTGGGGGTACTACATCGGCCGCTACCAGTAGTGCTACTACAAGCAATACAGACTTGAGTGTATCTTTGGGATCGGCCTCGAATGCGGTTAGCTCACTCCTAGTAAGTGTTGTTTGTTCGATTGTTAACTATCTATTGTATCCCACTGTTGGAGACTGAATGCATTTTTATTGTGAATTGATAATTTGGAACACCTTTATCTGATAGACCGTCCTCAGTGATCATCGTACATCGTTCATACCCCGCTTCCAACGCATTTCTTTCAGTTTCATTAAAGGTTTGACAGGTCTTTGGACAAATCATTTGGAACAGTTTGGTGTTGGTGCAGTGGTTTGATCGCTATTACTGATGTGTTTTGAACTCTGCGGTTCGAGGTTCGAACCCAACCACCGCCACCCAACTTTGGTGGTATTCAGTTTTGGTGCCTAAATTAACGGGGCTTTGTGTGGTTCACCACTGCAAGTCCTGTCGCTTAGGTTGCCGGTTTCCTTGACCGACTAGCAGGTCTTCATGTCTATGGTGTCCATCCCGTCTGTTGTTCTTCTCCCAAAGTGGGCCATTATGAAAAAGATTATTCGTATCCAGTTGGGTGCTG